GCCAGTCAGTTGTATTCTGGCATTTGGAGTGTACTAATTGTGATACTGCAGATAGCAGTAATCGTAAATCTGTAATTTGGGTGATTGTATGAGCGAATGTGAAATAAAATTCGCTACATCAAATACATCGTGAATTTATTTGTCGCGATATACGCCCGATACGCGACAATATAAATAAGGTACAGCACAGGGCCCTGGGGAACACCAATTATCTTTTCCCATGTAGAAAGATTTATTAAATTTGATTCCTCATTAGAAACCTGAGTTCTCTGATATCTGTTATTAAGATATGATTCAAACCATAACTTAGCTTTGCCATTAACACCATAAAATTGTAATTTAGAGATCAATATATCATGGTTTAAACAATCAAATGCTTTTTCAAGATCAAAAAAAAAAATACCACCTACTGGAGATTTACTATTTAAAGCTTGCAGGGTTTCATTAACTAACTTATATATGGCTTTGTTTGTTGATGAATCTGCTCTAAACCCAAACTGTTCTTCTGCTAAAATACTGTGATTACACAAGTGCACCTGAAGTCGATTATACATGACTTTTTCAAATCCTTTAGAGAAGGAACTTAACATAGATATGAGTCTATAGTTGGAAATACAAGCTCTATCACCTTTCTTAAACAAAGGTTTAACTACTGCATATTTCAGACGATCTGGAAAAATTCCTAAACATATTGATTTATTACAAATATAAGTTAAAGGCGAGCTAATAAAAGAAGAGCTTATTTTAAGTATCTTAGTAGATATTCCATCATACCCAGAGGAATTTTTCGGTTTAAAAGAGTTTATTATATTTTCAACTTCTTTAGACGACGCAAATTTTAGTTTGATGTTTGGAAACGGATTCTTAAAAGACTGCGATAAGTTATGAAGAGGAGTAACATTATCTGGGTTATGAAGGCTAAGTTTGTCATGTTTATTAATATTTTTAGCTATAGATGAAAAATATTTATTAAACTAATTTCCTATCACTTGGTGGTTATTGACCAGAGTCCCTTCAATATGTCTTATCAATATTTCTTGTTTTATTAGTTTCTAATTTAACTATATCCCAAATGGTTTTATTCTTGTTCCGGGATTTACTAATTTTGTCTGCATAATTAAGTTTTTTTGCTTTCTTGATGACAGCAGATAAAATTTTACAATATTTTACAATATCAGGGAACAAGTTTTTGCATGCCTGTGTCAAAGAAGCCTGCTGCTTATGAGCTCAGCCACGTTTTGACATCTTCCATAAACTCTTCATCATTGTTGAAGTGCTGTGATCTCTACCAGTTCTTCAGGAAGGTAAACAGGTGGTAGTTGCTCGGAGCAAGATCAAGTCTTTAAGGAGGGTAGTCAAACAACTCTAGCTGAAATGCTCCAGCAGTGCTTGAGTACAAGCAGCTGAATGCGGACTCGCATTGTCATGGAGGAACAGTAATTCGGATGTCAGAATTCCATTCCTTTTGTTCTAGATGGCCCTATGCAGTTTTTAAGTGTTTCATAGTCCCTTGTTGCTTAAATTCCCCACTCAGCATTCCTTTCCCGTTCCAGAAAACAGGTGCCAACAGGTGCCATCAGCTTTCCAGCAGACGTTTGTTTAAACTTTCAGCTTGTTTGGCGAATGTGTGTGCATCCACTGGTTTGACTGTTCTTCGGTTTCAACATCCACAAATGAAACCCAGGTCTCATCACCTGTTACGGTGATTGAGAAATTCATCGCCATCCTTATAGAATCCTTCTGAAAAAGGTCAAGGCCAAAGCCATTCTCTGCGTCTTGTGTGCACCCGTGAAAATTTTTGGAACCCATCTTGCATAGAACTTGTGGAAATTCAAATGAAAATTCTTAAATTGTAAAGCATCGTCTTTCACAAATTTTTTTGGTCAACACTTTGGACAAGATCATCACTCACCTAGATGGCCGATCACTTCGCTCTTAATCGCGAACATTTATTCACCCATCTTTGAACATTCTACACCACTGTCTTACAGTTCCTTCACTCGTTAAATTTTCGTCCTAAACCGTGTATATTTCAAAATGGATTTCCACAGCATTCGTTTTTAGCGTGAAGAAAGCGGTGAATAACAGCACGAATTTTGCAGCTGGCGGGATTATCAATCGTAGGACACATCATAACTCACTCTTTTGGGACAAGAACAAACACTAGTTAACCAGTTATGTGATCGTTTACAAGGCAATGAGTCATGTGATGCTACTTCACGTGTGCGAGCTCTCCCCCTCTCCTACATTAGTCGCCTAAAATAAATGGAGGTTACTTTTGGAATAGCTCTTGTATTAGCGTGTACTGGGGTATGATATGCAGAGGAAGGTTTGAATAGCTCATCCTAATATTGCGTTCCCAATCTGCTTGTTTTTAAAACAGCCAGGTCAGACTGGATTACGTTATGTTAGACTACACACAGGTAACTCACCAGCCAAAATAGTATAAATGTCTGCTTCCAACTGTGCACAAAACTCACCATCCACTTGCATATCAGTGCACTATTGGGTCAAACTATACAGGGTTCTGTAAGGCTAGGTTAAATTAAGTTTTGTTATGTCAGATCAATTTTCACAATTCACAACTGTCAGCCATCCTGCACATCCACCTTTGCACTCAGGCAGACCCTGAGGGATTCATATTGAGTTGGAATGGGTTTACATTAGGTTGTCAGGTTTGTGCAACATCCTTTACATAACACGGAAATACTGCGTTCCACTTTGTAGGGGCTTTTCCTTTGTTGTCCTTTGCGCGTGTGCATATATATATGTGCATTAACAAGCATAAATGTATGTCTTCCTAGTCTGCATAAGGTATAGAGCATCAAATGGAAGAATGATCGAGAATAATGTATTCCAAAGGTTGTGGTGTGAAGCACTTTTCTTCTCTTCAACAAGACTACCCAGAATTCACTAGAGGGACAGAGGAAAACCACAAAAATTCCTCCAAATTCTGGTCTCCAAGGCTGAGAGTCAAACTTGTGAACCCTCAATACCCAACTGCAACATTTAACTGTCCTTAAGTAGTTCTTGCATATCCTTATTTCATGGGTATCAATCAATTCACTGTTGCACAAGCAGTTGAGCTTAAGATATTTAACTCAGGCAATTAAAGGATGGAATGAACTTTTACATTCATATATAGTAATGTGTTATATTAACCTTAACTATATAAAGTATGCCTATCAGAAGCCTTACAAAGAAATATACAAATCTCAAAAAATGCATTTCATGGGCAAGTTTTATTGTACAAAAATTATATTCTTCAAAGTCTACAGAAATAAAATGTGATGTAAGCAATTTCCTTTACTGTTATTCTTCACATGGAATAACCATTAATAATGAAGTAATTACCACTAAGAAATGGAGGAAATTAATGAAGAGCAGAGATCCACAAAGTGCAGGATTTCCATAAAGGAATGTCAGTCATTCAAATTGTAACATTTATTAACTGTAACAAGATAGAATATAAAAATGAAACAGTCCCGAGTGAAGACATTTCATATGTACAGACACAAAAATAACAGGTACTCCATTTAAAACTATAGTTTGTAAAATAACAAATGATATTAACTTATTTGTAACATAAAATAATGGGGAATCATGAATATCAATCATCATTGGACTAGTCACATGGATCCGACATAACTTGTAGTCTGAATCGTTCATCCGGATCGCAACTTCTTGCCTTATGACACTGCTATAATCAGTAAATATACTAGGATACTAATCAACTTTCTGAGACTGTTCTGATGCTTTTCATATTTTTACTTACAATGTCCTGATGCCCTTTGTCCTGTGATATGTTTAGAACTCTGATAAGAACAATTATTAAAGACTACAATCATCATTTCAGAATAGCTTCTAGGAGATGTTCTGGTGTTGGTTTTGAAGCTACTGACCATACTTTTAATTTATGTTCTAAAAGAGCTGCTTCTGTTGTGGGCCCAATGGCAACAAACTGAAAAAAAAGGGGGGGAAAAATATGTTTCCCACACTGTTAAAGACAATGGATGAAGAACAAAGGTATCTGATATAACAAGGTTAAATCATTCCTTCAAATTCAGTTATAGAACACACTTCACATTTTATCTTCTTTGGATGAGACATTTCTTCTAAGGAAAACTACAGTCTGCATAATAAAATTCATTGTTCTCAAGTAACACGTGAAACAATAAACAGAATATTAAAATGATAAACAAATAAAGAAATCATATTTATGTTTTATAAAGTGATGGCAGTTCCCACACGTTTTATATGAAGTGAAGCACGGGTTAAAAAGAAGAAAAATGTTACTATCATTCAAAGCAATGGAAATTAAATTTCCAAGACATATAAAACTAGAATCAACTTCAAGCTACATGGATGGCACTAAACATTTATTTCGTGAATATGGTAATAAAGGACTACAAAGAAAAATTATTACTCCTCCATAGCAGAGTAGGTATCAGACTCACAAAGTATATAGATACATGCTGTATCAAATTAGAAAAGACTGAAGTCTAACCTGTGAAGGCAGGAGGAGGATATTAAGACTTGCGAATTAGCACATGAAACAAAAAAATAGGCTCAAACAGAAAAAGTTAAAATACAGAAAAAAGAAGTAAAAGGTAAAGTCACTGTGCTTAATTAAGCACTACAGCATGAAGAAGTATGGGGGAGTGGATGTATAGATCCATGTATTCTTGACTTTGGCACTAGTTTCCAAAAAATTGGAAAAGTTGGAATGTGTTTGTATTCAGAGTGGTTGGGGAAAATTTAAAAACTGCATAAAAGTCTTCAATAACAAAAAAAAAACAAACAAACAAACAAACTCCACTGTTTTAGTCTGCAAGCAAACTATACCGACCGAGCGACTGCTGCTTGTCGGCAAAGTTAGTGCCAACATTCCAGTAGTTTAAGAAAAACTCGTGTTAAATTCATGTTTATATTTTAATTGCAATCAAAAGATAGGAAACAGATGTTTTGAAAATGTGGCACAGTTCAGATATTTGAGAACAACGATAACAAATCAAAACCCGATTCAGAGGAAATTAAGAAGAGATTGAACTCGGGTAATGCTTGCTACCATTCGGTCCAGAATGTCTCTGACATTAAGGGAGGAACATAGACTGAGGGTGTTTCAGAACAGGGTGTTGAGGAGAATATTTGGAGTGAAGAGGGATGGAGTGACAGGAGGTTGGAGAAAACTGCATAATTAGGAGCTTCATAACTTCTACTCCAAGTGAATTAGAATGATCAAGTCAAGGAGGATAAGGTAGACAGGGCATGTAGCACGAATGGGGGAGAAAACGAATGCACATAGGATATTTGTGGGAAAGTAGGAAGGAAAGAGACCACTGGGAAGACCAAGGCATTGGTGAGTGGACAATATTAAACTGGATCTTAGAGAGAAAGGATGGGATGGTATGGATTGGATTGATCTGGCTCAGGATAAAGACCAGTGGAGGGCTCTTGTGAACATGGTAATGAACTTTTGGGTTCTATAAAATGCCGGGAATTTCTTGAGTAGCTGCAGAATTGGCGGGTCCTCCAGAAGGTATCAGCTCCATGAGTACATTATTTACATTATTTTTAAATCCTAGATATTAACATGAGTTATGCGAACTTTTGAAGTGGGGCTAGTGCTAGTGGCATTCATTGTAGGACCCTAGGATGTTATAAAAGGAAGGAGCTCATAAATATTTTTCAGTATTTCACTTATACTGTATTTCATTATGAATAAATTACCTTCTTTGAATAGGTAAGATGCCTAACAGGAGGTATGACTTTGTAAAATGGATCAATCCTGGCGATAAATTCGGAAACCCATAATGAAATATATACAGTAGGCTCTAATTTATGGAAGACTAGATTAACAATGACAGTTTTAGATATGTCAACAGCCTAAAAACCAAATAAATGATCATTTACATAGTGTCCATCTCACCTCTTTAAGTGTTTGAATATGTCATAGCTGACAGGTATACAGTAATATTCAGCAGCATTGTGCATATACAGTATTATGCTGAAATGTTTGAAACTGTAAAGACTGCACAGCTAGTAACAGATTCAACCAGCAAGACCCTTGGCTAGGTACTTGAAACAGGACAGACTGCAAAAGGCACAGAACTAGCAAAACTACTCACAATGTCCTATTGAAGAGGACTTATCAAGAAACATAGAAGTGAGGGTAAAGCTTATACAATTAGAAGAAAGAAATGAAAAATAAAAATGACCAAATCCATTAAGTGTAATAAACACACACCATCATCAGAACCATTTAGAATCCAAGAAAACTAATGCTCGACATCCGATGAGGACAAGATTTCTGTGGCTAAGTTGGCTGCCTTCTTCAAACACATGGGTAGCTGTGAGAATGTCATCACTGAGAACATTAACAGTGATCTGAAGTAGATAGTACTATCCTAGTGAGATACCAGCAGAAAATACTGTGACATGTTGAGCTATGGATCACCCCTACCTCCCCAGCGGTACGTGGCGGTAACGTAACGCTCGCGTTACTACGGTAATAGGCGAGTTCCCGCCCCGCCACTCCCCTCCGCGGTGACGTAACGCGCAACGCTAGGTACCCGTAATCAACTCCCTACTGTGACGTGGCACTCATTACGCAACCGGCAAGCACTGCAGCTATATAAGTGAGCTGCACAGCTGGTACCAGGGAGTTCTACTGTAGCAGTCGGCGACTTCAGTTATAAAGTAACAGTCGCCGAGTTGAAACATAACAGCCGCGTGTGCGATAACCAGTCATATCTGGAGTGTGTAATTCAGGGAGACTTGTATAGCTCCCGCATTATTAGTACGTGAAGACTCTCGAAGAGTGTTAAGAGATTTTGTTCTAGGGTTTGTAAAGAGTGGAAACCCGTAACATTGTGATAATTAATTGTAGCCGTGATTTGTAGATTGTTAAATAAACCAATTAACCATCTCTACGGCGTCTTCGGTAACGCAAACACGTTACATTGGTGTCAGAAGTGGGATCAGTGACGCAAAACACGTTACAATACAAACAGATGAAAGTGAGGATGAAAAAATGTTAATTTCAGAAAGCAAATACACCGTTCCATTACTCTTAAGTGGTATATAAAAAAACACTTTATGTGAAACTAGTGTTACATATCCTAATGAGAAAGATAGTGGGGCTGCTGCTGTAATACCAAAACACAATCTGTAACAATATTTCTTTTGGGAATATCTACTGTTCTGAGTTATCTGATCTGGTAGAAAAATGCTGACCAGAGTCAAACATCTCTGTGGACCATTCATGCAACAGACACCACAGAAAAGGTGCAGATCTGATTCTCAGACTGTGCAAACACTTTTGTCTAGCAACTATAATTATTATAAAATGAACAGAATTAAAATCATTGGTCTTCACTGGTGGAGTTTTTATAATGAAGTTCCAAGCATATAATGATTTGATAAAATAATTAAAATTATGGTTATATTAGTCCTTATTATTCTTGTGGCCTTACTGAGTGAGCATGTTTCACTTTTAATACATCTTAAAGTTACTTTCCTACAACCTTAACTGAGCTTAAATACTACAGCCTTCTTTTCAAGTTAAAAGCTTTTAAACTTAGTAGTTTACTAAAAAGTAATGTATACCTTCAACTGCTGTAGAGGCACTTCCATTTTCTCAAGTACTGGAATTGTAAACTTCATTCCTGATGGACTGAAGTATGCTACTATCTCTGGAAAACCAGAATTTTGCAATATAATTTCATGCAATCTTTGCTCTAGGTGCTGATGAACCTTTGTCTGATATACTGTAACTGCAACAACAGTAATACCTCTGGTAGATAGTTTAGTTGACAGTTCATCCCCTGTTAGATTCCCACAAGGAAACAACAGTGGATGTTCAAATTTATCTGCAACAAATACACAGACTTATCACTAATTAAATAACTCAATATACTGTAGTTCTACATTAGGAGTTTTTGTTTATTAAGTTGATTTAGACATTTCCTGTTATAATGCCTGAAGATTAATCATTAGTGCCATAACAGTCCACCACTGGCTCTGTCTGAGCCAGTTAAATACATTTCATATCCTCACAGAACCTTCATTCTCTTGGATCCATCTTAATGGTATCCTCCCTCTAATCAGTCAGAATGTAGTGGTTAGCCCTCCTATTCTGGAATCCCTGGATTCAGATTTTGGTCTGACAGAAGTTTGTGACGGTGTCCTGCCAGAGATACCATCTATCTTTCATGGTTTTCCTCATTCCAGGCAAATGCAAGGACAGTACCTTAAATATGACCACAACTACTTTCTTCTACCTCCATTTCACATTCTTCACTGTCATCCAATAAATAGTCTGAGTTACTGACAGCATCATTAAATAAATTACAAATATAAATGTAATAATACCTCAAACAAGCAATGACTGCTTCATTATCATGCCACTTAGAAGTATACAGGCTATTCACTTGTGGAAGCATCACTGAATAATCCCAGAGTCCAAACCAATTCCAAAATTTAAGTCTCTAGGAACAGAAACAAACAGGCATGAAGTTCATGCTGAAAAAAAAAAAAAGGATAAATTCTGCAAGTGTTCATCTTTAAAATTGAGACTGTTTCCAAAACACCACCAGAGCCACCTAGTTAGACCCCTTACATGTTTGATTGTGGGAGACTGTGTATACGTAACTAAATCTAAGGATGAAGAAAGCAGTCTTCTGGGATTTGGCACCGTGTATATGTGGTGTTAACTGACGTTTTCTCACTGTCTCTTCGCTTGCGGATTTCTTATATTTTTCCTTCTACCCTGAAGATGGAGGCGATACGTTCCTCCAAAACATCTGTTAACACCACATATACATGGTGCCAAATCCCAGAAGAATGCTTTCTTCATAATCACCGCCGTGAAAGCCTCAAATCTTACGAATCTGAGGATGTTGCTGATCTGTGATTATCAGAACAGTTCTGCAGTGCAAGCACTTTCTTTCCTTGTAGTTAACTTGATGATGCCTTCCATAACTCAGACTGTATGGCATTGGATGATTAAATAACAGCAAATAATGAACTGGACAGGATGTAAAAGGAAATGTTTGAGGCTACTTTAAGGTTCTATCCTGGCATACTTGCTGTCAGGATAGTCTGTTTACCAGCCATGATTCAAACATGGGCCTTCCTGACCACAAGTAGAAGCATTACCTCTTGAGCCAGTTTACTCAGATTAAGCACCTACTAAAACTTATGAACACATGCACAATTGTGATTGCATTTTCAAAATAATCCTGTATTTCGATAACATCCACTCAGCATAAATATATAAAACACCTGCCCCATACGAACTTCAACAGAACCCTGTAACTCACTCTGAAGAATTATTTCAGCCAATGCACTTGAATTCCCTGCATTACTTCCTTCCCCATCCAAGCACAGTTCTTTCTGTAAGATTTTTGAAGTACCCTCTCCAACAACAAAAACTGGGTGCTTCTTCCATCCTCCAAGCAAGCGTCTTGCATCCTTGATGCATGCAACTGCTCTGACTGCTCTTGGACTTGTGAAGACAAGTCCTGAAATGCATAGTACCAAGCTGTCATTTAATCCCGAAGTTCAAGCCACACCTCCAAACTTCTTCCAGCATAAAGCCTCTATTAAAGCGGCAAATGTCTCGAGTATGACCCTTCTGTGATTGGTTTGCTGGCCAACTGTGGCATGTGGCACTAGTCACTTGGCCAACTCTTTCGTCACGTTAAAAAAACGGGCAAATTATATGCTGCGATCTAAGATTCCCATGACAGTGACTATGAAGATTGCTGTCTTGTGGGATATGACACCATACATTCTGGTACATGTTTACTGATGTTTCTCTGAACCATAGCTAAACATCTACCAGCATACATGTAGTCAAATTACAGAATACGGTTATCTTCAAATGTACATGCTTCTTCTTGATCTATTAAGACAAAATCTAAAATAGCACACAACACATATGAAAGATTTCTAATCCATGCTACAAAAAGACTGATATACAGTAAAATCCTAATTTAAAGCTTCTTTTGGGAACAGGGGATTTGAACACTAAACTGATGGATTAATATAATAGTCATATTATTGCCTTAGGATCACTGAAACTGAATATCAAATCAGGAGTATTAAACAGCACTTCCACTGTACCATTAATCACTATTATGATTTGTGAAACATGAAGTAAGCCAATATTATGCAAAAACTGCTCCCACAATTTGGAAAATGGCTTTTAACGTCAATCACTAATCCTAATTCTAATCTGTATGCTTAACCTGTGATATAATTTGAGTCTCATTTTTGAACAGATAGGTAACTAAACCAATTCTCTTTTGTCAGTTAACTCAATTTTTCTCTTCTTTCTGCATTATTTTTACCACATTAAGAAAGTTGGCACTAACTTCGCCGACAAACAGCGGTTGCTCGGTCGGTATAGTTCGCTTGTGGACTCAAGCCACAGAGTTTGTTGTTTACTGGTCACACTGGACAGAACTGTTTAACCTCTTATGACAGTATTCATTATTTAAATCTTAATTTTCAATGTGGCTTTAAGTCCAGGAAGTGCCACTCTAACAGAAATGAGTACAAGAAATCTTCCTGGTGGTAAAGGGCGATCAACAGGCTGACAATCTCACCGCCATGTGTGAGTTGACTGTCTACAAAATGTGGGAGCCTTGACATCTCACAGCCTGTTAACAGAATTAGCTTTACCTCTTTTCTTTAATTTGTTTCTTCTTCTCCTCCTCCCCACCCCATAAAGAAACTTTGATTTCTTACTGTCAATCCCATACTACTGAACTTGCACCACAATTCTGAAGGCTCCATTATCCACCTGTGTATTATGGTTAGGTCCTGCATTCTAGTGACAAGACATTGACCCATACTGTTTTCTCTGCATTTATTGGTCAGCATTAGTAATATGTAACAGTGTTTGTTTTTCTTTATGTTATTTATGTCTTTGTCCAGTAAATTATCATGAGTGTAGACCATAAGCTGATATGTCCCATTCAATTCCAGTACCCCCTGCTCTTTTTGGCTCTCCTAGTGTTGTATTTCAAAGTAAAGTTGAAATGCAATGGTGATTACATGCATCCTTTTTTGTTTTATGACCATTTTGAATAGAAAATGCAGCAGGCAAATTTGTACCTATATGCACTTGATTATAGATTTAGTTCACACAGCCCACTCATGTCACGGGTATACCAAGTTCAATGAGAATATCACACACTTAATAATTAAAAAAAATAATTTTTAAATGGGTTTATAATGTGAGATACAAGACTTATCTTTTTTTTGTGCAAATGTTTTACAACAAACCATTTTAATCTTTCTTGAAAAGTTCCTGTAGTTACTGAATGATTTCAGACGACATATTTTCAGTCCTTCATTCTATTTTCATTTGACTTCCCTCTACTACAGAAACAGATATTTATAATTTAAAATACAGTTTGTAATTCTGATTATATTTACCTGAAAACATGTCAGGCTTTTCGATATTTTGTTGCAGCACATTTAAATTACAGTATTCAAAATCTAACACAGTAACATTCTGGGTATGTATTCCAGCTTCTTCTAGCTTTATTTTGAAGGGATCCTCTTGACCGTCAGTATCATTCGTAAGTGCTTTGAATATCAATACTTCTCCTTTTATGGTTTTCATGTTCTGTTAATTAAAACCTATCCTTAAGGCGCTAAGAACGTTGATAATGAAAATAGGGCAGAGGTATTAATTTCACATCTTAGATATTCGTTACTATGGCCTGTCTTCAGTAAAATCTACTTTTCTGACGAAGAACAATTACACTCATTACACCGGAAAATGAAAGCACCTCACAGCCTTATTTAATGCTATGGGTACGACATCCATACTGATCCCTACCTATCCCTTCGAACCGACATGAATCCCAACGATTCGCATCAGCTCATGCAAAGTGCGTGCTACTAGCTCGCTGGCGGTCACTAGCGGCCCCCCCCCTCCATTCTTCCATTGGGGTGAAGGAAACATGCAGAACACCCATCTATATTCAGCTACATGAACTACTCGTAGATAGTCTGGAAATGACTGGAATCGATTATTATACACCTATCGCAATTAATCGAATCGCATAAGTGTGAGTCAATCAGAGGATCATAAAGATCATAAATTTCCGTTGAAGGTTTTGGCCGTTGGCTCAGTAAGACGAGTAAGACTGCGTAGTTTGTGATGATATGTTTACGACATTTAGGTATGTCGTGCAATTAATTCGATTAATTAGTAAGTAGGGACTTTGATTTGATGTTGTGAAACGAGAGTCGACATTTACGCATGAATTTACATCTGTGTGTTACTTATGTATATGGATAATGCTTACTATGCCCAGTGAAATTAGAGACAAATATTAACTCAGTGTTACTATGATACTTCATCCAAATCGTATTTCTGTATTTTAAGCATCTTTCGGCCAGTGTTATTGAAGGGGTAAAGATCTTCATTATAATCAATTAATTTGTAATTCTAGTAACAAAATGAAAACCACCTGGAGCATTATAAAATCAGACACAGGTAGAAAAATTAATAATGCAGGTATACAGTTTTAAACATTGATGGGAAGTTAACTGATAATCATGCTGTGATTACTGATTCTTTTAATAATTATTTTTGAACAATAGCTGAACAACATCAATACCAATAATGTTCAACAGCATTTTCTGTGATTTGAAGAAAACTTTTGACCCTGTCAATATTTGTCTATCTCTCTCTGCTTAAAGTAGAATTTTATGGAATAGTTGGCAAGGCCAGTGCATTGATAAAATCCTATGTGAAAGATAGGTACCAAAGGTTAAGTCTATTTTACTAATTGGAGGAATAATTTAACTTCAATATTAATTAATGATCTTGGTCTGTTATATGCTGGATGCCTAGTAATATACTTTTATGTTTCATTATTGTAGTCTTGTGTCATTAGTGTGCTGCATTCTTTCACATATATATTTGAAAACTCTATTAATGATTTACTCTCTGTGATTTGTCTTTGATAATATGTGTAATTGTTATGGGTTAAATATAATTAATTTTTATTTATATCATTGATGGAACTTGTCCAGTTGTCTTTGACTATTACTATATCCACTGTTCTTCCAGCCATGTAAGGATTAATGAAAAGTAAATAAATGAATGAATGTCTGTTTTAGTACATGATGTAATGTAGCACCTACACCATGTTTGTAATGTTTACTGATGAATTATTTCAAGGTTTTGAGGCAATATGTAATAATCTTACAGGGCTATGGTATGGGCAGGAAGAGTTGGGGTATCCTGTACTACTGATTCTGCTAGAATGCTGCACAATAAAGTTCTGTGCAACAAGCATTTCTCTGAAAGTGATTTCACTACAGCTGAAAGGGCACGCCTTAACAGATGTGCAGCAACCCTTAATGCTCTAGTGGCTACAGGTTAGCACTATATGTTTCCTATATGAATGAAGTGACTAATAATGAGGACTAGTTTTCAAAGTTACTGCCTCAGAACCCAGTTTTAATCAAACAAACATCATTATCATCTGACTTGAATTGACTTCTGAAACTGTATATCAATATACAAGTTATGTAGAATATGTCACAAATACTATTTTTAGGATAATTAAAAAATATTTGAAGAGCTGACAACACTATCAGTGATATGATTAAGGTGAATTAGGTGGCAAAGATTTTAATATGAGGAATAATGTAATGAAATGTAAGTTTTGTATAATGTTAGTCCATTGTAAAGTAATGTGTTATTTTCCAATGTAATGAAACCAATTCACCACATAAGGAGGCACACCAACTTCTGTCCTCCCCCGCCCCCATTCAGGTGGTTGCAGCAGCGAATACATGGCAACAGCTGTGTTTGTTGAGGAGGTTGACAACCTCTTCGATACTTTCAATGGTGGAACAAGTGTTGGCCAAGGGAAAGCACTGCGTTGCCCACTCAGTGACAACAGTCCCCATATAGAGCTCTGGAAAAGGGCAAGTATGGGGATAAAGAGTTGGATCTTCCTCAAGGATGGTAAATCTGCCTTTCTTCATCCTCCTCCTTCACAGAATGGGTGGCTAATTGACATCGCTGCTGCCCAGTATGTGTGGAGGACACTGAAAGAGGCGGGTTTTCAGTACCTTCTCACCAAAACCCTGAATCAGGACCCCCTGGAGAACACATTTGGAGCTATTCGTTTAAACTGTGGTTCAAACAATAACCCGACTGTGGGACAGTTTGTAGATGCCCTGAAGACTAGCATCATCAATGGCCTTGCATTTAGAGGACTAGGAGAAACTAATTGTGAGGATGATGGTGCTACTCTTCTGGATAATCTACAGTTGCTTTTCAGGGCACCTGAAGCTGCTTCATGAAATCCTTCCACAAGTCATGACAAGGAAACCGTTGCTGGTGTGCCTGAGAGTTTCCATGTTGCTCTGCAAGTACAGATGGACATTAGTCCTGCAGTAGCTGCTGGTGACATAGAAGTGTTCTCAGTAACTTATGTCAGTGGTTCCATTGCCAGACAGGTGCTTCGTGGTGTCAGCTGTGATGCATGCAAGACATACCTGACATCTGAAGTGCTGCTATCAGCCAATGTCTTCATATATTTCAAGGAGTGCAGTGATACAGAACAGTCTCTCACATGTCCTTCTGAGAATCTTGTGGAGACTGTTGGTACTGCTGTAACTCTGATGGAGTCTATAATGACAGAGGCTGCCCACTTGAATTCAGTGGAGCAGCATATCACAGCTGCCATCAAGAGCACTATTGACTTCGAGTGGATTAGGTGTTCTGGCTGTTCACTTCACCACCAACGAATAGTAGATAGCATTGTGAGATGTCTCACACAAATTTACATTCCTTGGTGGTGTAAGCGAAGAAACAGGTTGATGACTGAAGCAGCCAGGCAAAGGGCTACAGAGAGGAAGATAAAGATACTGTCTCATCGGTAAGTCATTAGGAAAGTAATGCTTCTTCATTTTTCCCTTATAATGGCCTGCCCATACCAGCCCTGGAAATTGACAGAGAGCAGTTATGAAATTACTGGAAGAATATGTGTGCCAGCTACTCACCTGAGCATCATTAAATGTTTCATAAGTTGGAGAAAGTATCTCTGGTGACAAGCAGTTGCAGTGCAGCAACAGAAACTACTGTGCAGCGAATGATAACATTGTCATCCACAGTTCAGTTACACACAAGAAACCTACTGTGAACTTGAGCTCCATCTCTTTCCTGCTTTGCAAACATGTTGCAGTGAATGAAACATGGTCAACCACAGTTCGATTACATACACGAAACTTATTTTGAACTTGAGCTCCATCTCTTCTCCTCTTTGCAAACATGTTTCCTTTGTCTCAGAATATTAGAACTTCACTGGGTCAGAGATCATTCTGGCCTTTATCTTCAAGAAATTGTATTTCAATCGAGTGTATGGGAAATTGTTTTCTTACACACATGGGTCTTCTTTATGTGTAGGTAAGAATGAAGAGCCATTACTTTATAACTGACTTGCAAAGTTCAGGTTATCCACCTCAGTGTGAAACTCTGAGAAGCAGAATCAGTATCAGGGTTGAATGTGGGTAGGACTATTTATGTAATTTCTTTACCTATTTCATTTTTGTTGCATTGTTATTCACTTCTCTTGTTATAGGTGTATTCCTTCTCTTGCTTTTGCCATATAATGCTACCTGTACTGGACTGGTGATATTGAACATAAGATTTTCAATAGTAATTGCATTTCTTTAACATATATTTTGCTATATAATCATATCCAATACTGAAGTGGAAGTTGAAGAGATACTAGATTGTCAGTATTCATTACATTTTTTTGTAAGATATGTTACTTTTGCCATATAATCCTTTCCGTTACTGAACCGGTATATGAATATATACCAGATTTTCAGTATTCATTACATTTTTTTGTAAGATATGTTACTTTTTCCATATAATCCTTTCCATTACTGAACTGGAATATGAACAGATGCCAGATTTTCAGTATGCAATATATTTCTTTAAGATATGTTGTTATTTCTGCCATATTGTTCTGCCCAGTACTGAATTGGTGAAGATGCATATATATCAGATTTTCTTATATCATTAAATGCAGTCTTAGTCTTGTTGACGAGTGTATTTCACATTCTTGAATTCCATCATTCTAATGAAAATAGTAAGAAATGGGAACATGAGTATTGTTTCTTACAATATATGATTTATAATACTTAAATGTAACCGAAAAAAACTGTGTTCTGTATGGCTTTCAATTGTAAATTATGAGGATTAATATATGTATCTCTGATGGAAACAGAATTTTTTTCAAGTTTCCCCACCTTCAGCTTTCCTAAATACAAGTATTCCATGTATGTCACAGTTCACAATGTTCAGTGCCTTTGGTTAAAGAGGTGTTTCATGTGAAAGAAAGACTATGACTTTCCAGGCACTGATGACAAACTTTCTCCAGATAAATAATTTGCAACCTAATCTCTTCTACTCCAGAGCTGCAGAGGCTCGTATTCCACTGTTATTTCTTTTTGGAAAGGGAGTGGGGAACCAAGTTTAATAGAACTTCACTCAAGTCCAACCGAAAGGATATGGGTAAAGTGATATTAAACTTTCTTATGCAGCTGAGCCCTTCTTGAGAAGCTGCCAATTGTGCAGCCACTCAAGAATTTTCTAGCCTTTTGTAGAACCTGAAGGTTCATTACTGTGTTCACAAGAGCCCTCCACTGGTCCCTATCCTGAGGCAGATCAATCCAATCCATACCATACCATCTTATCTCACTAAGATAAATTTTAATATTGTCCACCCACCTACGCCTTGGTCTTCCCAGTAGTCTCTTTCCTTCTGGCTTTCCCACCAATATCCTATATGCATTCCTCGCCTCCCCCATTCGTGCTACATGCCCTGCCAACCTCATCCTCCTCGACTAGTGATATTGAACACGAATGGGGGAGGCGAGGAATGCATGTAGGATATTGGCGGGAAAGCCAGAAGGAAAGAGACTCTGCAATACAAGAGATCTGGTTGTGAAAGTATTTATTGCAAGAAGTGAAAAAAAGAATTATAAGTGGGCGAGGGGGAGCACTCAAAATAGTTGCTAAGGTAGCATACCTTCTTACCGATTGTGCTCTCGGCCCTGGAGGCCATTTTAAATTTAGTTGATGTAAGTTGAAAATAGATTGCAGCAGCATTGCACCAAGGTGTCATGGCGGCCATGTTGCCAACCAATAACATGGGAGTTATTGTGAAGTTGTGAACGTTGCGAAGGTGTGTGTGTGTTAAGTGTACGTAATGAGTTCAAAATGTTTTGATTCCAAAGCGATGTTTAGATAGTTGTATTATGAAGCCGTTTCGTGTTTAATTACGGAAAATAATGGCTGTATGTACATTTTTTACGTATTAACGTTATTTCTGTTGTAATAGCCTTATTCGTTCAAGCGAAATAAATATGTGTAAATTCGGGATTCCTGTGGAGAGAAATTACATCCCCAGCAAACCTAGTCTATCTGCGTACGTTCTTACAAACACGAAAGAAATTTGGAACTTATATGCTCGATACTAAGAAAGTGAGTTGGGTTTGTGAAAGGTAAGGTATATCATCGCCTTGGAGAAAGTTAAGTGCTTCATTGGTCATTGTGAATCATGAAGCGTCCAAATATGGCAACATTTTGAAAGCGTGAACTGCAGTTAAATGCGAATGGCGTAAATCGAAAATGTGGGAGTTTGAACAACGGGCAAACATCAAGTTCTGCCAAAAACTAGGCAAATCCCCTAGCGAAACGTTCAACATGATGAAGCAAGTGTATGGCGAAGAAGCTTTCAGCCGCAGTGCCGTGTTCAAGTGGCACCAACGTTTTGCGCAGGGGAGAGACAGTTTGGAGGATTATAAGCGTAGTGGTCGACCACAGTCGGTCAGAACTGAACGCAAGATCGAAGAAGTTGCAACGTTGGTACGTGCCAACCGCTCCCAACCGATAGATGATATCGCAGCCGCAGTAGGGATAAGCCATGGTACGTGCCACAAAATTCTGACTGATGACCTGAACATGTTGCGTGTTACCGCCAAGAAAGAAGAAACCGCGACAGGACGGGTCAAAAGGCAAGGTGATGCTTGAACTGTTTTTCGATTCATTGGGAATTATCCCAGAGGGAGGAACTGTAAACAAGGTCAGGAGCAAGGAGATCCTTATCCCTCTACTGGATTCAGTTTGTTGTAAGCGCCTACAGGGTAACTGAATTGACAATGGGATTGATTCCCCTGAAGGAAGCTGTTCAAGAACTGGCATACAACTGTGACCATAGAGTTGGATGTGAAACCACTACAGCATCCAGCTTTATGCTGTCCTGATGCCACTCTGCTAAAACTGATGACAGTATTGCTGTGTCCTGGAAATGAATTTCAATATTTGAAACTTGAAATGTTTTAAAATTTTACTTTTGTAAGTGTTGTAATTTATTAAGCATTGCTGATTGTAATTATATGGCATTTTAAAGAGCCCTACCCTTGGTCAAGAGTGCAAATTTTGAGGCTCAGAATTGAATAATCTTCATCTTCCTATTGTATTGTTTTTTTTTGTTTGTTTGTTGTTGTTGTTGTTGTNTTTTTTTTTTTTTTTTTTTTTTTTTTTTTTTTTTTTTTTTTTTTTTTTTTTTTTTTTTTTTTTTTTTTTTTTTTTTTTGTAGCTTCATGTGTTTCCCTCAACACTAAGTGACAAAATAGACATTAACACTTTCCCCTGCACATACTGATTCCAAGTTTTACTATAAGGAGAGCAGTTCATTTTAAAGTCATTTAAATTTTATACATTTTAGTGATGTAAGACATAATCTTCTGAGGACAAGTGGATGTAACTCATGAAAAATTCAATTTATGTAACTCAGAAATTGTTAATTTATACAGACTTTATATAATCAACACAGTATTAGTACTCACCCCAGTGATGACGGATCTGACCACCTGTCTCCTAACAATATTTTTTTGATATTATACAGAGTCCATACACAAAAAGATAAAATTTGTATATTTGTAAGCATGCTCAAAACTGTCCAGTACACAAATCGGTCAATATTAGCTTTTTTTCAGTTTTGTATTTCCACCCCTCTTCCTTGGTGATATGCCAGAAAGCCATTAAACAAAGAGGGATGTTGCATTGCTTGCTTTTGTTTTCAGTCTGAATGCCATGTACTGGCAGTGTTTTCCATTTCTTTGCCATGTGTTGTGCATAGATTTTCATGTGACCCTAAATTTTTTGAGACATTGAAGAGACCTGGGCATGGCAGTGCCTGATGGCAAATTGCATTTCTACCCTTTCTATTTCTGTGATGTAAAGTTACTGATCAGCTGTCAAATGAGATTTCTTCTGCAGTGCAGTTGTATATTGCATATGCAGTCTTTGGTGGCTTGTTCCTCATATCAGACAAAAGAGAACCATCAGCAACAGATATGTTATGTTTGCTGTGAAGTGAAAAAGATATTTCCACCATGTTTATGATGACCAGTTAACACCATGATGTGGGATTTGTGGTTGTCATAGCTTGCTATCTGCTTCATGCTGGTTTCTTGCTTCACTTATTCTTCAGCCTTGAAGTTCAGTGTACTAAGTTCCTCTACATTTGCATGAAACATCATTTCACTTCTAGTGGACTACACAGTATTATATCCCTTATATATATATGAATTTGTGAATAACATATATCTAATAAGATCTAAAAGTTTGTGACGATGGTAAATTGTTACAATTAATATGTTGTTGGACATTATCCATCATCTTGTCTGCTCTTAAAAACCCGTCCTGTTTATTTTAAAAAACACGTTTCAGGGACTGGATACTGTCCCCGTCTTCAGGTAAAACCTACTCAGTTGGGTCCAATAGAGAGAGCTAGCCCCTAGCTCCTGACAACTATGCCAGTTTTAGAAGGGGTTCATAAAACAAGCACAACTCAAACCATCTGTGAGAGCTAAGCAATAGTGAAGCTATCACATATGAGGCCTTGCACCAGAGAAGTATCTTGAATGAAATCATACCTGGAGAGAAGCATTACTTCTTGTGGTACGAACACATGAAACAAATAGTTACCCACTCCAACTACACTTGACGGTGCTGTAGTCTCTTGACTTCTGCTGTGATGACAGGGGTCCAGATGGGAGAGATATCAACACTGGGTTGACTGATTGGATGGTCCAGCAGAGACATATGGGCTGATTCCTTGTATTTCCTGTATGTGGTTTTGGGTTAGCTCTGCAAGACCTTCACTTCATTCCAACAAATTTTGTGGTCTTCCTCGTGTGCATGTTGGGCCAATTTAGATTTTCCCAGCAAACCCTGTGTCATATGATATATGTGCTCCTTAATGCGTACTTCTAGGGGTCTGCTAGTTTCACCGATGTAACATCTTCCGCAGTCACAAGGGATGCTATACACACACTGCTTCGTTTTTTGGGCATCTAACAGGTCCAGTTTTCATTAATGTCCCCCGGAGTGTATGTTTTGTTTTGAAGATTGTTCTAAGCTGAAAACGGTTCCTGATGTGTCTGAATTTCTCGGCGATACCCTTGACATACGGAATGACTACAGTGCCCCGGTATGTTCTGTCTGAAGAGGGATGATTTCTTGTCGATGGCTTCAATACAGAGTCCATGAATTCTTTAGGATATTCACTGAGCATCAGGTCATGTCTTATGTTTCTGATTTCTTTACTAAAATCCTTCTGGTTTTGACATATGATCTTCGCTTTGTTGACCAAACTATGTACAACTCCCCTTTTCACGTGGTGTGGGTGATTGGACTTGGAAGTTAAGATAACGACCAGTATGAGTAGGCTTTTGGTACACTTTGGTGGTCAGTTTTGCACCCCGTTTCATAACCAAAATGTCCAAGAATGGAAGTGCATTGTTAACTTAACTTCCATGGTGAATTTGATGGTAGGCCTGATCTTGTTAATATGTTGAAGAAATTCCTGTAGCTTTTTCAGCCCATGTGGCCATATCACAAACCTGTTGTCGACATATCTCAGCCATTAAGCAGGCTTGTAATCAGCTGTGTCTATTGCTGTGTCTTCAAAATGCTCCATGAAAATATTACTGACCACTGGAGATAGTGAGAGACTACAGCACCATCAAGTGTAGTTGGAGTGGGTAACTATTTGCTTCATGTGTTCATACCACAAGAAGTAATGCTTCTCTCCAGGTATGATTTCATTCAAGATACTTCTCTGGTGCAAGGTCTCATATGTGATAGGTTCACTATTGCTTAGCTCTCACAGATGGTTTGTGTTGTGCTTGTTTTATGAACCCTTTCTAAAACTGGCATAGTTGTCAGGAGCTAGGAGCTAGCTCTCTCTATTGGACCCAACAGAGTAGGTTTTACCTGAAGACGAGGACAGTTTCCAGTCCCTGAAACGTTGTGTTTTTTAAAATAAACAGGACGGGTTTTTAAGAACAGACAAGATGATGGATAATGTCCAACAACATATTAATTGTAACACATATCTAGTTCAGATTTTTTTTTACATATGCCTTCACAGTTTTATTCTGATGCTTTCTGGCATACAGCCATTTCAGAATAGTTCCATGTATCTCCCAGGTAAAAGTAATCTCATAGATCCACAACATTATCATCCAAACAAATGAGTGTGTATGACTGTAATACATCTCGTGATGCAAAAATACTGATTCCAGATGATATGGTTGCCTTAATCTCAGCCTTAGAAAATTTTTCTCTTTATTGGATAAGTTCTGGACATGTTATAAGACCAGTATAATTGGAAGATGTTAATTTGTGGCAGTCACTTTATGTCAGTTCACCTGCTGAACAGGGCCTGATTGTGCATCTTCACTGCAGAAATGTGTATGATTAAATTATTAATCATAGATAAGGAGCAGAATAATTGTGCAAAACTTGATGTTGCTGTAAAGCTAAATTTATTTCAGAAGAAACCAGAATTACAGAAGATGTGTAAGCTGTTATTTCCATATTTCAGGTTATGTCACATACACAAATACATGCTTTACAATGTAATAACTAATTAGCCATGAATGTTTGTGGCACTTCCCAGTGCAGTAAATATTATTCAGGTGTTTAACTGATACATCTTTTCATCACTCATAACAGCAACATCATAATGTTGAAGCTGCCACACTGAAGCATGTGCATAGGTATAGTATGTATACTTATACAGCAAGTGTAAACAACCATGGAGTAGGAATTTCCTTTTAAAATAAATAAGGTGTGAAATTTTGTGTTGTAATGTGACACTGCTACACACACACACATGTGCATGCATGTATGTATTAATGTGCTTAACACAAGTTATGAAATGTATACACAGCATAATGATTCTGGTGCTTTAGTTCCATTATTGTCTCTAGATTTTAAAGTTGTGAATGTTAACAATTGATGCTGTAGATAGTACACAACAGATAACTGCAATCAAGACCACTGATAAGTCTATTTTAGGTGCGTCTTTCTGCTTTTTAGACACCAGGTACATAAGGACTATAAATAAGCAAGATTTTTTTTTGTATTCTCTTTTCTTAATCACATTTTTCTGATACAGTTGATGTGTTTATTTTTGTGTTGAATGATCTGTTATGATTGAGGATAAAACTTTGGCAAAACAGTTAAATGTAATCAATTAAATATATATTTATATAATATAGAAGAGTTTATGTGGGAGGAAGTTTCATTTAATTATTGTGAATGAGATATTCTGATAATATTCATGTGTACTGAGAGAACCGTTGTTGATTGTTTGGTAATCCTCATGTCTCTGGAAACCATTGTTATGTGCTGAATATAATACCAGGAAATGTAAGCATGGTATAATGATTCTTTTTTAATCATGTTGGAAAAACTGCAATCCATGTGAGGAAAAAAAATGTATTGTGGTTAAATGTGTGTTTGGAGGTACAGACTGGAGTGCGAATAGACCTCTTTGTAAAGTGTCCATTAATTCTGTCCAGTTTGAATCAAAACTGAAAAGCACTGACATTTTATTAACACTAGCCACTATCAAACTTAATTAAAATATGTACTACTCTTAAGTTCCTTCGTGAGTACAAAGGAGCAAATGTAACAGGCATTCTGCAGGGTTGGGTACACAGATAAAGACACGTGAACGCATAAGTATGTACACATTCTCTTTCTCTCACTTATATAGATCACCCAGTCAAATGAGAAGTATTTATAACCACCTATTTATGTTAGTGTAACTGTGTGTAATTACAAAATGACTGAAATGTAATTGATTAGAAGAATTTTCTTTAGAATTGTAGTGTAATATAAAGTCTAGCAGTAATTTTATTTTCATGATGTTACATGTTATTCCATTCCACTATTTTTAGAACACCCATAATTATTAGCTTTCATAATTGAAAACACTACAAATTATGTACAGTTTCAACTGTAGGAATATTGTTTTCTCTACATAAAAGTCAAAATTTAAGCTTATGGTTTTTTAATGATATACTTTCTGTGTAAAATTGACTTTTTAATTAATTACACTTTATTAGACTGCCCTCCCAATATGTTGCACATTACTGAAAGTTGTAACTAATGAAGTGTTTACTTACTCTCAGTAAATTGAAAGAAAAATACAGCTCCTTAGTTACTCGTATATCAGTATCATGTTATGAATATATCGTGACGTGGATGGCACAATGGGAAGTGGGGGTCACGTGAAGTTTGTGGTCTCGCGAGTGACGTTACATACCTCCACTCCTTCCATCAGTACGCAACATTCGGTGGGCGCTACCCCCCACCCCCGCGGTGATGTGGAAGCGCTGCCTAGTGTGACGTAACACGCGACACCGCTGTTGACACAGGCAACAGCGAACGGTATAAAAAGCCGGCTGAGCAGTGTGTGAGACAGTGTGTGATCAGGAGTGACACAGTGCAGATTGTAGCAGTCGCCGAGTTCAGTTGTAGTGAGTGAATTGTGAACATGAAGAATACCGATAGTATGAGAAGCTATTGGGAGTATGTAATACAGTGACACTGGTATAGCTCCCGTATCATACTGTGAATACATGTAGACTACTGAGGACAGTGTGAAGAGATTTGTGTGTAGGGTTTGTAAAGTGTGTAAACCTGTAACAGTGTTATAATTAATTGTAGTTATGATCTGTAGGTTGTTAAATAAACCAATTAACAATCCGAACGGCGTCATCAGTAGCGAAACAAGTTACAATATTAATTCAGAGTATTAGTACATATTCACAAAATATTATTATGTAACAGCCTAATGCTATATGGTATTAACAAGTTTTGCTTGGTTTCCTTTGGTACAAATGTTATGACTTCTTCACCTTAAAGAAATGGGAGTTATGTCAGTTCAGATACATGGAATACAACATGTCATTTTATATAGCCTTTGGCAACTTGCATAGCAGGAATAAATTGCAATGCATTCAGTTCATTTCATAGATCACAGTACACAGTTTCCCAGATTAATTTCAGGTACTTTCTTTCGGTTGTATATATTTCTTCCAGAAGCTAAGAATTAAAGGTTTCTTCCGGATGCCTTCTTGTTTTTTTTTTTTTATGTCTGTGTAAATGGTCTCTAGTTGAAAGTCCCAAAGTTTGTTGATAGTCCCTGTTCCTTCCTCCATGCTGCAAGGCGTTGGGCATACCATGCCTGAAAACATACATGGATAGACTTTCAGTGAATGTAACACATGACTGTTCAAAGTTTGTGTTCAGTAGCATGAAGTTTAAAAATGAAGGTGAGGTAGAGTAAACATTGTGACAGTATAAGGTATATATGAGCAGAAGTGAAGGAGTGAAGACATTTTTAAAACAGCACTGAATAAGGTGATGGACATAAATACTATGAATTATCCCTCAATTGCAAATACTTTTGAGTTCATTGTCTTCTGAGAAGCAGTAATATTGTATGACATTTAATATGGCTGGTCTGGTGGTTGAATGCACTGTAGAAGAACTGTTCTGTGATCTGATTTTTATAGTCAGAATGTATAGAATTTATGAATGAATGGCAGTTGAATATGGTGATGACTGTGAGCCAGACAAAAGTTTACAAATATATGAACAAATTCAAACGAGGACTGATGAATGTTGCTGATAATATGCATTCTGGGTGAAGGTTTTGGAATGGATGAGTCAGCAATCTGCAGTCATATCTGGGACAACTGAAATATCAGTTAGATGAAATTACAATTGAAAAGAGCACCAGTCATGGACAGCAGGACAGGGATTGCTTATGACTGCGCTAAAGGCATATTTCACACAATTAGTTGCTGTTCCGTGTAGAAGGTCTGGACCAACCTGCACATCTGTTTCCTGCAGGCCTGTTTCAGCTGCTAGCAGAACCAAGTCTGTGCTGTGTGGATTCTTGACACGCCCAAATTGTGCCTCTAACACTTGCTCCTGTTCGACACTGAGATGCACAACCCGGATCTCCGAGTTACTCTTTGGAGACAGTTGGGGAGACACAGATTTCAGCATCTGTAAAACCAATCAGAAATATTTAATATCATACTTAAAAATATGTTGTTTGTTGTGTAATATTGTTGTTGAACTTGGTTTCTCATGTTAAAGAAAGAACATAGGTTGGTGTGTTTAAAAAAGATTGCTGGAGATAATATTTGGACCTAAGAAGGAGCAAATAATAGGAAATGATAGAACCACATAATGAGGTGCTTCATAATTTAAACTTGCCACAAAATATTGATTAGGGCAATCAAATCAAGCAGGATGAGGTGGGTAGGTCACAGAGCATGCACAAAAGAAAACGATGCATGTAGATGGCAACAGACAACTTAGGAGACTAGGCACAAATGGGAGGATAATAGTGAGATTAATCTCAGAAATAGGATGTGAGAATGTGTACTTGATTTATCTTAATCAGAACCAGGTTCTGTTCTGTATGTTCTAGTTGTCTAAAAGGCAAGAAATGCCATGCCTACCTGAGTGATTACTAGCTTTTCAGGAAGGATATACTCAATGGAGTCCAGTGGTGAGGAGTTCTTAATGTGCAGGCGTGCACTTAACAAGCTGTTAGCTGGAAGAATCAGGGATTATGGGATTGGCAGACATGGGGGGAAGGTAAAGCTGTCCCTGCAAAGAGGTGAAGGCCCATAGGGTTGTAAGACTTTGAAGCTTCTGCACTCCTGTTATTCGTTTGTGTTAGAGGCTGAGTCAGCCCCAGGGCCATAGTGCAGCTGGAAGGATTTGGTCAATTAAAATATCTGATTACCTCATGTAGGGGAGGTATGGGAAATGCAATCAAAATTTTTGTCAGTAAACCTGAATGAATTCTCACTTTGGAGATGGAGGCAAAGATTTTAGTATTACATTAAGGTTGATCTTAAGCAGGATTTGGGGATGTGGACTAGATTTGCCTGGCTCAGGATATGGTCCAGTGGCTGGCTCTCGTCAGTACAGAAATTACTTTCAGGTTCCATAAAAGTTGGATAATTTTTTGACCAGTCTAGTGACCGTCAGCTTCTGAACAAGTAACACTAGTCCACAGAGTTGGTTGGAACAGTCAGTATTCATGTAGGTATATTACTTATATACTCCATGTAAGAGTATGTGCAAATGAAAGTACGAGGGTTGGAACTTTTAATAGTGGCAACTATTTATTTATGACTGATACAAAATAGATGCATGTTTCGAAGTTTTACTGCCCTTCACTGTAGTCACCAGCATTGTGTACAACCCGTTGCCAGCCATGTGGAAGTCGTGGGGTACCTTTAGCAGCGCGTGTTGTGTTGATTGTTCGAATGGAGCGGTCTAGAACAGTTCTGAAGCGAATGCTACGAAGTGGTTCCTTCATCTTAGGAATCAAGTCGAAGTCACAAGGGCTTAAGTCCGGTGAGTATGGTGGATGGTACAGCACTATCAAGTCTTTAATCTCATCATATCCGGACTGAAGTCTGGTTTATCCTTGGATGTGTGAATTAACTATGGATAAAAGGCTAAATTTTTAATAAATTCAGCAGTTTATTGGTCGATATTAATATTTAACTACGCTGTATCAAATACCGAAGTGATGCCGTCTTTAGGATAAAGGATATCGGTAACCTAATACAGAATATCGGATATTTTAACATCAAAACCGACGGGTGAGATATCTAATACAAACCGGTTGCTTCCGTACCAGAGAACACGTCCTTCGGGCTTGAAAAGGAAGTGGTTTCAGTCTTCTGCTCTGCGTTCCTTTTCTCCCGTTTCTTTCATAGTCCACTTTCTTTTATTTGATTTATTTTCCATTTTGCTGTTATGGTTTGTAAAGACGCCAGATATGTTAACTATTTTCATGAAGGCTGATTAATTGCTAAACCTGAGCATTTTTTTAACGCATGAGATTTTTCATCACATAGTTGCCTGCTCAAGGTATGACGTAGGCCTACATTCTAAGAATAATTTGGAATGTTCAGTAATTCGTTTGTGAAAACCAAACAATTTGGCGAGTAGCTATTTTTTTTCACTTCCTCCTCCCACTTTTTCAGCCGCATACTGCGGCAGATTTCTTTCTACAGCTTTACCATTATTAGAGACTTCCCATAACTGAAGACATGTATCATGCAAGTGGATGCTGAAGCCAGAGGGTTTCCCATTGCCGTCTTTAACCATGGTGTAGCTCATACCCAAGGCTTTCTGTATTACTATGCTTCTGTTAGATCTGTTGTATATCCGTGACCTTCAAGATGTGAAATGAGAACACGAAAGGGAGTGTGGGTCGTATTTACGAGCAGCAGGTCGAAATACGCGATATCTTCTGCTTGTTTCGGATTCTGTGTAAAGGTGAATGTGGGCCGCCATTCACGTCATGAGAATGGTTATGTGCTGGAAACGTGCCCGAAACAAGACATGACGTGGGCTTAAGTAGTTTGAAAGAAGACATTCACAGGCTGCATGTAGGTCAAGTTAAATGGTGTTGATTACAATCACTTACGCTCATAAATGTGTAGGCCTTGAGTATCCTGTATGCTGCTCAAAGTATTGTATCTCCGATATAGACAATGAAATGACTACACAGCTTCTAGACACTGAGGAGCCGCATTGCACCTTAGGCACCTATGCGCAATAAAAATATATTTGTTCCTATTTCCAATTTTTTCCTCATACGTCTCCACCTTTATGTGGTCTTCTTTTTCTTTCATTTTATAATAGAAAAGGATGACCTAAATAGCCAATTTAGAATGACATTTTATTAACAAATTCCAATAACAAATACAATTAATTCCCAGTTTTGGAGGGGCTTCTGATATTTGCATAGAAATTAGGCTTACAGAAAGACGGCGAGATAGTTGGGAGTCTGTTTCGTTAGGAAACACTTCAAAATGACCTAGTGGTACGAAACCCGAAGAACTGCAGGTTGTGTTAGGTCTAGGCCGCGCCATAGCTCAAGCGGTTAGTCGCTGGCTTCCCACCGCGGCGTCCCGGGTTCGATCCCGGGTCTGGTCAAGTGGGATTTGTGGTGGACAAAGTGCCGTGCCGTGCATGGAAGCAATTGAAGCATTGCTTCCGTAGTTAGAAAACGAAAAGAAAAGAAGTCATATATAATTAATTCAATTTGAATAATAAAGATTTGAATATTGTAATTTAGCGTGTGTTCCTGCTGAAGGCCACATGCCTCCTCCCTTTCCCTGCTTGGTGGAGCGGACCAAGTTTCCTTTCGTTAATCTTCGTAATAATTCGTCTAATCCGAAGGGGCGAAGGGAAGCAAATTTCGGTTTGCTGGCTAGACCAGCGAAAGAATGTGTTCCTTAGATGGTTATGTGAAAATTAACTGTTTGTTTGTGATTTCAGTCTTGTTGGGTGTTATAGGTAACTTTAAGTTTTATTAAAATATTTTAATTGCATATTTATATGGCGTAAGATTGTATTTATGATCGTATTTTTACGCATCAGATAGAAGCAATCCGCGTTTAAGGAAAGCAAGTCTGATATTGTGGTACGAGGGGCAGGGGCGTGATTGGACTACACGCACAGGTCACAGCTAAAATGAATTCTGCCAGACAACGCGACTGCGACTGTGCAATCGAAAGCCTTTTAAAACGGGGGTTTAATAGCAGGGACTTTTCTGAAAAGAAAATTATAGAAAGAGGACGACCGACATGAGAGTTGCCAGAACTTAAAGCACACACCAAATTCTGTGTGAGGAAATTTAATTTGGAACAGTATTCTAAAACAGAGTGGCTATCCGGTTCTCGTAATATAGGAAAATTGTTTTGTTGGCCATGCCTGTTGTTTCTCAATTAAAAAAAATGTATGGAACAAGACTGGGTTTGGTGATATCAACAACCTTCATAGAGCATTGAAACGACATGACAACTCTCAGACTCGCATTATTTCAACAATGTAACTTATGTTCGGGAAATCTGCAACTGACTGTCAACTTGACAATCAAAAGCGCCTGACGATACTACAGCAGAATGAAAATGTGAAAGAAAATAAATAAATAAATAATGAAACGCTTGATTGACATCATCTTCCATTTAGGAAGGTGGCAACTTGCCCTCCGTGGTCATGACGAAAGCGTGCATTCTATCAACCAAGGTAATTATGTCGAATTAGTTCACTTGTTGACGAAATATGATAATAAACTCAATGTTCACCTTGAGAACAGTACAGTATTTACAGGTTTATCGAACAGAATACAAAACGACCTCATTGACTCAATAAGTGACGTATATTTTGGTGAGTTGATTGCTATCAGTTCGTTTATTAGATACCACTGCTTCCCTTACCTAAAATAGTACCGCACGCCACTGGTCCCACCCCACTAGCATTAAAAAAATTATGTTGGGTCTGCGCCTAAGAGACAGGATACGGCGATTATGAATTAATAGGGAGTAATATGGGGAGAATCAGTGGTTGCCTGTTTTAAGATACTCGTATGTGCACAGCATTCGATTAGAGAAAGTTGTTTCTCATACTTTTTGATTGAGGAAGGGAAGCAACAGACGTTCGGTTCAAATGCCGAAATCGGAAGTTTTCGAAAGATGTGTCCAGATGTTAGAGGCTGGTATGGTCAAATATTTTAGTCTGCAAACAGTAAAAAGTAAAGCTATCCCTGTACCAGGCCGTGAAGGCCCATAGGGTTGTGAGACGTTGAGGGTCCCACATTATCTAGACAATGGGCTCAAAGATGGCGGTAAAGTTGTCAGCCATACGCGCCGGCCGCGCTTCACTCCCCAGGAAAATTATTTAATTAATTCCTGGTACATATTTCTGTTAAGAGGCTGAGTAAACCCCAGGGCCTAGTGCGGCTGGAAGGATTAGGTCATTAGGAAAACTCAAACTGTGACCTTAGTCTTAACTGTACAAGTCGACTGATGAGAAGTCGGACGAACAATTTCTACATTGCAAAGCCATCTGAGATTTCCGAACTATAAAACAGTTTCAGAGCACTGCACTGACGTGGATGTAGGACACGGAAGACTAATGGCTGGATAGCAGCCAGGCAGCAGGGTGAAGCAGTCATCCACTTAAAC